CCCCAAAACCCCAAAACCCCAAAACCCCAAAACCCCAAAACCCCAAAACCCCAGATAGTCTAAAAAAATTGATTTCATGGCGTTAATTTAATTTATAAATATGTACACATCATTTCGTTCTTGGAAATCTGCAGCAAGCAGACTGAAAGCAGGGCTCATCCTCTCCTCAGGATTTGTGCTGCACCAGAAAATGATCAAAGAAGAGGCCAGTTATTCTCATTGCCATAGGGATCTTTTTAAGACGAATTTAATCTCAAAGAACTTCTTTTCGAGCATGTTTCCTAATTACTCTTTAAAATGCCATGCTTTATCTCAGAAACAGAGAGAAGTACTTATGAAAACCCCAACTGACGTGTACGTTTGGGGAAATGGACAACAAGTAGAAATGTCATTTGATTACTCTAACTTTTTCCCAAAGAAACTTAGAAATTTTAGCGAGAAGGACAGCCCTCAAATTATTATTGCCAAATTTGGGGAATTTCATGAAGCTTATCTTGATAAGGAAGGCAAAATACATATTTGTAAGAAACACCGGCTCGCTTCAATGAAGCTTAAAGAGGTGGATGATACCTACCGTGATGATATGAAGCAACTTGAGATCAAGAATCGAAAAATTATGGATATGACATTTACCAGGAACAGATTATTTGTCCTAACCAATAAATAAAGAGGTCTACGTTTGGAAAATAAACTTTGAGCTCCCAGAAGGCAGAGAAGACGATGATATATTCAACTCTGACATTAATGAATTCTTAACTTCAATTGAGTTGACTCCTGTACATATTAAGGAGTTGATCAATATTGAGGAAATTGCTTCAGGAACCGACCATTTTATAGCTAGAGACTCTGATGGCACTGTTTGGGCTATGGGAGATGATACATTTGGTCAATGAGGCCAAGCTACTGCTGGTCGCCCTGAAATTCCTCCATTTAAGGAAAGAAGAATTGGGAAGCCTGTAAAAGTTCTCCTTCCAAGTAAAGCAGCTAGTATATCAAGCGGGTTTAGACACTGATTTGCTATCAATGAATCGGGAGAATTATACGGATGGGGATACAACAATCAACAACAGTTAAGTCATAGTGAAGAATTTGCTCATGAAGTTAGCCAAAAGCATGTGATTTTTGAGCCACTCAAAATTACTAGAGATCTGGAAAGCAAGAGAGTCGTAAAAGCTGATGGAGGCAAAGATTTCTCTATCATAGTCACTAAGGATAGGAAAGATGTTCAGGAAGTATTCGCTACTGGAAACAACTTAAGAGGACAGCTTGGAATTAACAGAATTAGCCACCTTCAAGATATTGAAAGAATTGAAGATGCTTCTGGATTTGTTGATCATCTAAAAAGGGCTCCTTTGACCATCTCCAATCTGTCTTGAGGCAGAAGGCACTCGATCCTGACCTTTGACTATGGTGCTTTCTTTATTTGGGGAGACAATGAGAAAGGTCAGCTTGGCAACAAGAAAAGACAGTTCTGAGAGTCACCATATCCGGTTGGAAAATTTGAAGAAAAGCATAATGTTTTGAATGTAGAAGCTGATTTTGATAACTGAGCAGTTATAGTTGAAAGACTTCCTGATAAAATCAAGGATAAGGATGATGAAGATAAAAAATCAAAGAGAAGCAAGTCTAAAAGACAAGCCAAGAAGATCCAGGATATACCCCAGCCTATTGTTAAAGAGTTACCTCCTCCAAGCCTAACCCAGAGAATCAAAGATAGGTTCTCAGCTATCATGAGGCGTAGGAGACAAGAACTTGAGAAAATGAAAAAGAACCAAGAAAGCCTTAGAAAGAGAGATGAGGAAGGAGATATTGAAGAGAAGGAAGAAACCCAAGAAAAGAAAGAGTAGGCTTATTATATATCTTTCTACATTTTTATCCCTCAACGGGGTTTTGGGGTTTTGGGGTTTTGGGGTTTTGGGGTTTTGGGG